CTATAACTTAAGACCCCTATCCTCATTGTCAGACAGGTCTCTCTGCCACTGGGCTGTAAAAAGAGCATTTACGGCCACAGGTATGTGTCCTCATGAAACAATCATTGTTAGACAGCTTTTTCCCAGAGTTTCCCTCTCTCCTCCAGGCTCCTCTACCTTGTTTGATGGGAAAATGCAACACGGGAAGGAAATTTTACAGCTGGAAGTTCCCCAGGAAACTCTGGAATAGTTCTCCTGTGGAAAAGAAAACCCAAACAACAAACGCAAACAACATCCATGGAAGTTCTAAAATCACTTCTAATACTGATATATCTGATACATTGCAGGAAGCAGGTGGTGAATCTTTCTTTGTAAATGTGATTTGAATATATGTAGGCAATAACAGTAGACAAATTCAAGTTCTGGCAAATGAAGACTTTCTATTACTATGTATGCTTTACTTGGTAGAAATTCAGAATTACACACAAGAACATGAGAAAAAAAGCAGTCATACTGACAAAAGGGGGGGTGGTGTTTTAAAATGTATTTGTTTTGCCAAAAATTCCATCCAAATGGAAAAGCTTAATATAATGTTAACTATGGTGCTGCTATTCTAGTTGTATAATCAGCCTAATGCCTCTGAAGTTTTAAAGAATAGTGTAGCAATTATGGTATTACACCTTAATGCCAGCTTTAAAATTAAGGGAAAAATTACTTCTATATGCCTCACAGAAACAAGCATTGCTTTATATCCATCATCCTTGAAAGCAAGCTGTAAACTGTCCAGTTTCAAAACAGACAGATGAATCCTATGCAATTTGTCTGGTTTCTAGTTATTAAGATGATTTATAATAAAAAGCTGGAGGGGGAGAATTAGGTGCTAGGGAAAGATGTTTGGGCACATATCAACCACCAAAATGAATTAAGATCAGATGAAAAAGAGAGAACAGAACAGCTATTAAACTCCTGCCTAGTCTTCACTGGGACTGTTGTTATAAAATTTGAGTACAGCTGCACTTAATGAGTTTGTGTAAAAGCAGACATCATAAAAATGGGAGAAAGTAGGAACTTCATCCAATTAGATAAGAGAATTGGCCAGCAGCCTCCAATGAACTGAAAAGCTCTTCCAACTTTAGGGATGAGAGCTAATTATAACTCTATTTTTGTGTGTGTGGGATGCTAGTAAATTACTAAGCAATGTTGTCCTGTCAAAAAACTATGTCATATGCACTGACTTGATTATTACAGATTAGCCATGTGCCAGAGATGGGGATGGATTAGCCTGGACAACAAAAGAAGTAATTCTTCCTCAAACTTCAGGTGCAAATGCCTTCTTTAGTTTCTCCCAAAATGAGTGAAGTGACAAGAATTTCTATTTCTTCTTCATAGTGAGGAACACATGTTGACATAGATCATTTTGTGTTTGTTCAAGAAAGGTAGCTCAAGAGATGTTTGCTGTTGAAACTAACACACAATAAGATGAAGAATCAGGCAGAAAGGTTCTCACTTTTGCTTTATAACAGTCAGTACTGCTTCTTTCATCACCCCCAAGCATGCATCTTCAACACGCTATGCTACAACTACTTAGGGTGTGCAACTCCCAGCAGCCATGTCACAAACATCCTTCTTGGCTCCATGGCCAAGTGAGTCTCCCAGACACCCCCCCCCCCCCCAGGCAATTTTCAAGAAACAAAAGACGTTTTATGTAAGGGGAAAGTGTGAGAAGGCATGTTCTCACTCTGTGGAAGTGCTTGCTGAGGGCAGCAGGGAGGGCAAGTGAAATAAGAGAATGTATTTACGGAATATTGGAAAACAGGTTCAGACTCTGGACCCTGCTATTCCAATTCACTCGTATTTCCTCTGGAGTAAGTGCTTACGACCACTGCCAAGCAATGTCACTCCTTATAGCCTAACTCCAGGGCTCCATGCTCACTGGCAAAACCTGAGCAGACCATCATTGTGAGTATGAAGTGTAGCTTGGTTTTCCTTTCGGGACAATGTAGAGCCACTGGGACTCTCTGAAAGAAGCCAAAAAAACAAGACAAAAAAACTCCAGAGCAGACACAGCACATTGGAAGGCTGGGACTGCTAATGGGACAGCTGTAAACAAGAATGAAAGACTCAAATATGGGATTAAAAAGGGCAGTGAGAAGAGTCAAGAAGAGCTGGTTTTGAATCTATCCAAGCCATATTTCCAAGCTAATATATTTTTAATTCAATTATCCTAGAAGCAAATAAAGTAATTAACTTAGATTTATATCATCAGTAAGACAACAGAGCCAGCAACATCTCGAAGAGACTTACAGCAATCTTTTGAACTTTGAATGAAGGCTACCAGTGTAGCTCCTAAAACTAACACAGGCAAGAAAGAGGTTTATGGCTTCTAAACACAGATCCAGCATGTCCATTTAGAAATGCTAAATAAAAACTGTGGTGCCTTATGAAATGAAAAGCAAATCATCAAGAAATCAGCTTTCAGGGATCAGCTGAACAGCCACATTGTACTCTCACGGAAAATTACCCAGCAGCTTTTTCTGAGCGAAGAAACACAAATCAGTTTTGCTTAGCAAATGCAGGAGCCAAACTCTTCTATTGTGAGGGTTTCAATAGACGCTCAAATAACTTTGACAGCATGGAGGGGGAAGGGTGTCTCTGACCCAGTTTCTACATTACAGCGTCGCTTGGGTGATGGTGGTGTGAGTGTTCACAGCAGAACCTCTTTTGATTTTCTTCTCCTGCTTGCTCACCATCTCTTTGTTTAAATAATCCACAGATGTTATCATGGGCTCAAGAATAAGATTAATTGAGCTTAACAATGGCCAGCGACTTCTTATATGCATTCAGCTGGTGACGTCTTCAGCACAGAGGCCCTTTACACAGTGCAAGAGGAAAATTCTGTTTTGTTTGGCTTTCTCCTTTCATGGCCATTTTGAAAGCAGTGTTCTCATTTCATCCTGACACTTTTGCTCAAAAACTCCTAACATGCCATGAGAAATTTTGACAGTCAAAGCCTCCTCACCTGGTGGAACCAAAATGATTTTTTTCTAGGTTCTCTGCCAAGAAGTTGCTTGCTTCTTCTCATGACACCGATCCAGAAGAAGATGCAATTGCCCCCGTTTGTAGAACAACAAAAAACTACAAAGGCAGGGAACTGGACTACTGAGAAAGGGGACAAATGCCTAAAAGAAAGGCTCCACATGCAGAGGTGGCAGGGAAACTGAGAGTCTATGTGTGCAGGCACGTAAGGGCAGTGTCCCAACCAAGCACCCAGGCAAGAGATGTGACAGATGGACTGGTCTGAAAACACTGAACATCTGAGTAATAGAGGCAAGATCCAAAGGATGCATATGAAGCTGGAATGACAGGTTTTTTTTCCCATAGCAAGGTCTGAAATACACTTATAAGTCTGAATATCCACAATAATAATTTTCTCTCTATAAAGCCCTCACAGCTAGCCATGTTTCAATCTGGTTTTCAACAGAACTTGAATTCTTATGAACTCTCACTTGTCTGCTTTGATATGTCACAAACCATCACTAAACTGCCAGCTCTCTGGCAGACTTTCAAGCATCTTTAAAAATACAAAACCTGCCTTGCTTCTAGTGTTTTCCCCACTTCCAGCTCGTAAACCAAAATCTAATTCAGGGGCTTGAAAACAGCAGAGTCAGAATTAGAGCTCACCAATGTCCTGATAAAGAAAGCTGAAACTAAAAAGTTACGGTGTCAAAAGCAATGGAATAAAGGGGAAAAGCAAAGCGGGAATGGTTTTGTCAGCTGTAGCCTGCACAGTTATATGACGGGTATATGACCCAGCAGGGGAACCAGCCCTTGAGAAGCACACAGATAATTCTGCTATGCATAGGCTGGGATTACATCAGATGTCTCCCAGCACAGATGCATGAATGTGGGGCTACTGTGCAGTCCAAACCCAAGCAATGGAAGGAGGTGAGCCAGCAGAACTGTGAAGGAGATCCCTGTTCAATCCAATCAGAGAGTAAAGCAGCCAAAGACGTAAGGAGCTGCTGTTGTCAGCCACAAAACCTCTTCCCAGCTCTCTCACTCTAACTTTCCTTTGCTAAGGAATTTTGATTGAAGTGCTGGTACACTTTTTTTAGGGTTAAGGAGACTGGTCACTCTTGCACTAGTCAGTTATGAGATAAAAAGAAAAAACTAAGAATGGAGAGGGAAAATCCTGAAGAAAAGGTGCAATATAGTTTTTATATTTCAATCAACAATGCATTTGTATTCTCACTCCATTTGAGAAACCAGGAAATCCCTTTTATGTTTTCCTCCCCAGAAGGTTTTCTTCCTCTTTTTTTTTTTTTTTTTTCCCCACTGAGGAAAAAGAGATCAATTGGAATATTCATCTTTTAAGCCTAGTTCATTTTGGTTTGAATACAACAAATTTTACTTCACTTTCTCAAAATACATGCATTTCCTGCAAACATTTGTATCATCTGAAAACTCATTTTTGTTAGGAAATTTTGACCATTTCTAGCGATTCCTTCTTCGTGAGAATTGCGCCACTTCCCTGGAAATCATTAGCTAGTGCACTAACCCCAGGACTGTTACTTTCACTATCAGGTGACAGAGGCATAATTCCCTCTTGACTTCAGACTACTCATTTTTGTCTCTGTGCTCTCTAAATCCACTTATGAAGTGGACATTATAGTAACTTTTACCTCACAGAAGCACCATGGGCATAAAACCACTCATTGTGAAGCTTTTGCATACTGTGGAGGAAGACTGTATAGAATATATAACAACCCACGTGAATTAGGCATTATAAAGATGCTGCAGAGGATGATGGACTTGATTGAACTACTATGTGCAGCTGAGCAAAGCAGTGTTATTTTGTGAGCTACCAAAGCCTTAAGACACTCCTAGTCTTGCAAATAGCATCACAAAATCTCTAATGGATTACAGATAGGCAGGAATTTTTGTTTATATCTCAGCCAGAAGACAAGAATCACTCTGCTGCTCAAGGGACTAAGAACATGCAGTGGGTCAAATAGACGAAAAAGGGAAGGCAGCCACTACCACAAAGTCAAGACCTATGGAATAAACACCATCATTCCCAGAACACTTTTATTTTATTTCCAATGGAAAAGCCAGGCTCAGCCTTGCTAATGGCATATGAAGAGATTGCTGCCTGATCCCATATGCCTGTGATTTTGCTTCGCTGGTGGACATTTGTAGCTCCCCTCCTGCAACTTAAAGCATGTTTTCTCAACTCAGCCTTAACAAAAACTCTTGCCTGACAAGAACTGATCTCATTCACTTGCTGGTCTTTGACATACTTCATCTAGATTCAGGGTGGTCTATTTGCTCTTCTCTGAAGGCTCCCTTCCTTCACACACTAGAGCTGAGTTGGACATGGTAAGGCTGGTGGCATCCTGGTGCAGATACTTGCTATCAGAGCCCGGTGCCCTCCTTCTTTGCAGATTATCAGCAGTACCTGGTATAAGAGCTGGTGGAGAAGGGGAAAAAAGAGAGAAAAACTGAGAAAAATGAACCAGATGATTAAGGAGTAAAGAATGGCAGATGAAACTAAAAATAGTCCCCTCGGCAGTTGTAAAGGAAATTCGTTTGACAGGAGGCTGCTTCGTCTGTCAAGAGTGGTTTGTTTTGCAAGAGACTATACCAACACCGGCTCTTCTTATCTTGGTTGTCAGTTTAACTGACAAAAAGGAGCAGGGGTTAACATCACTGGAGCCACAGCCAGCCTTAACATTTGTTTGTTTTCATGCATGTGCGTGTTTTAAGAGGCAGCCCAGGGATTAATACTGCAAGAAACTGTGGTGCAAGCTCAGTTAAGCAATTTCACAAAAATTTTAAGAGTACTCACTCATTATTAAAGGCAACAATTAAGCCCCTGTCTGCTGCTGGTTTTGTTTCCATGCCTCCTGCTTCAGCCATCCCAAGAAGGGATCATGATGACTTTCCTGCAAAACAGAAAACTTAGCCATCAAAATTTCTTCCATGCACAGGCAGCAGCAGACACCCTTGTCCATACTCTGCTTTTCCAGTTCTGAAGGTAAATAACCCAAAACATGCAGAGCCTTCTGGGTACAAGAAAATGAAAAATTAGAATGAACAAAATTGTTTTATTTCCACTCACACTCCTTCCTGGTGCTTGAGCGTGCAGTAACATTTACTCTTCCGCATATGAAGGTAAGAAGTAGGAAGGAAGAGGTTTTAAAAGAGACCACCTTAACATCTCCTTTCTTACAGAAGAGAAGACAATGGAAAACAGAAGAAGGCCAAAAAAATGAGGCCATCAACAGCTTCCCTGACAAGTGCCCGTAAGATTGCAGGTAAGCCTGTATGTTCCTCATTAACATACCTTCTGGCATTCCTGCAAGCTTTTAGAGAGCCTGGTGGTCATGGCTGCCAATATCGGCTGCTGAGGAGGTAAGCAAATCACAGCCTGTCCAAGTTAAACAAGTAAAGGCCAAGATTTTGAGAAACTCAAGAGACACACACGTGGTGTGTGGGAGTGAGCACTCAGGTATGACGTAGGCACAAGGGAAAACAACTCTTACTAGCCTTATCTTCATTGGACTTTTCTAAAACATTCATTTTTAAACTAAGTATGTGGCACTAAAGCCTGGGATAGTTGAAAACAGGACACTCGCAGTCTCCATTCCTTTTTTCTGAGGAAATGCTCAGCAGCACAAAGACAGCAACATAGAAGTCCTCTCTCCTAGGTGATAACTGAAGTCATCCTCTCTTTCGCAAACACTGGCATGTTTGGTACAAAAATAAACAGCAGAATATAAGATAAGTTGGTGGAGAGAACCCGTGGAAAATTAGACAGCAGCTTTGTACTTCAGGCAGAAGATGTGCACCGGGTTGAAACACTGTGGACTTCTTTTGTAAACGAACTTAGAAATAACTTGATCTGTTTCCCACGGGTGCAGGAAGACCTCGGCAGTGGATTCTGCCCTACACCAGCCCCACCTGCCATGAACTGCTCAGGCCACAGGATGCCACTGTTGCATTTCTTTTCAGAAGGTCAAAAGAAACTGCAACAAACCATTTCCATGAACTGGACACCTAAATTTAATGCCTCTCTTCCCTTCTTGATGCATGCAATTGCCAACGTTATGGCCCAAACAGACCAGATGTAAATAGCTCAGAGCTGCCCAGGGTTATGTGTTTTGATCTGTAACAAAATGCCTGGATACCTTTTAAGGATAGATTACTGAAACCAGCATCTCCGTGCTTTCATAAATTTTCTATGCACAAGAAATCTGCCAGGAGTGTTGACTCTGACCCTGATAGTTTTGACCGCAAAACAAATATTCTTTGTTATTGGATTGTATCTACGTCCAGATGAGAAAAGAAAAACACTAGATGGAAGAGTAGATTAACTGAGAGAGAAGGCAGACTGCTCGTAATTCCTACCTCTTGTAAAAGAGGCAAGAGCTCCTACCATGTTGATAAAACTTCATAAATATTTTACTAACATAAAATGGAATGTAATGCATTCATGCCAGGAGACAGAGAAGTGGTGTGAGCTCTTAGGTAGCTCCTCTTGCTGCAATTTTGTGCATTTTGCAAAGCAGGCACCCAGAAGCATAAGCCCCACCAGTGCAAATGTTAGAGCAGTAAGACTGCAAAGATTTGCACAGGGTCTAAATGCCCTCCAAAAGCAAATTTCAGTCCTGAATACATTTACATTTAAGTGGTACATTATTATAGAAAACCAAGTATAGGATTGCAGATGGTCTCCAAGATCTATTCAGACAGGGATTTCCCCAAGTTCAGCATGACACAGATGGAATTTGGGAGAAAGGACTGTTAAGAACTGAGGGAGAAATTTTAATGCTAACACTTTCTCAGATTTTTAAAGGCCGTTTTGGTTTTGCTCATCATGTTAGGGAAAAATGGCTTCAGCCTACTACAACTCTGCTTAAGAACAGGGAGAAAGAAAATGAACAATAAGGTTTCAGATACAGCTTGGGTGGCCAGCAACGGCAGAACTTGAGGAAAGTCAGCATGGAAGTGACAGCTGTGGTGATTCAGAGCATTAGTGAGGCTGGTGTTACTGCTCCATACTTCAAGCTGATATAAATACGAAGGGGCCCACAGATAACACTCTTTCAGGATTCAAGGCTTTGATAGAAACATCCTCTCTGCCTTCAGCCTGTTTTGGAAATGTTCCAGAAGCTGGCTATTCCTCAGCCAGAGTCTAGATTCAGTGTGACAAAATTCCACTTTTCAGAAATCCATGTTGTAAGATTTTTAAATCAGAACTAAGCTCGGAAGATGCTGGGAAGGACTCAGTCTTGGAAAAGAAACAACTACCAAACAAACAATTTACATGTTACCAAAGACAACAATAAAAGAAGCCTTAGGATGGTTTCCATTGCTTTTAAAAATAAATATTTGTTATATCACACACCAAGGATACAACATTAATAGTAAATCAATTAAGATTGTTTACATTTCTTTTACTGAAGCAGTATTTGGTGGTGTGATGGGTTTTTTTTCCACTAGGACAGAAAAAAATTGACCAACACATAACCAATTACTTCATTCCCAAACTCAATTTACTTCCCCTTCCAAAGACCAGGGATTTCAAAATCTCTTTAAGAAGAAAAAATATATAAAAATAAAAGGATGCCTCTTCAACCCAAATTCTTTTATTGCTGTTCATAACAATAAACAACAGATTTGATATAAAAGCAACACTAAGAGGGTAGAAAAAAAATATGCCAAAGCTAATATTAGTCCTGCTGATCTCAGGACCTTTGTGTTCCTGTTAGACTCAACAGACTCCAGTGGTGCCCTGACTGCCTGGCTGGCTGGCAAAATCTGTCCCTGGAGGTCTATTTATGGCACCTTGTAGCCTATACCTAGATTGGGGGACTGCACTGATCCAAGACAGAGATGTGACCTACTCAAGTAAAATACCAGGGAAAAAAAATAATATATATATAAATGGTTCACACTTTATTTTCTGCAAATCAGTCCCTCTGGACTTCAGTAGCTAGCCAAAATCCAGTCCCCAAAGTTATTTCTATTAAAAGGAGAAACTAATGACAGAATCATGTGTATCTTTGATACAAACCCACCTGCTTACATACAACACAGAATCCTTTTACCTGCAACAAGGTAAGAACAAATTATGGTTCTCATCCAAAATTAGCCTGTACCACATCCAGTCCATTCATGAGCTTCTTCTACTTTTTTCTCCTTAGAGACACATTGCTGCTACTACTGCTGGCTGTTTCTCCATAATCAACACAATTTTCTGTGGCTTGTCTCACTGGTTCTTATGTCATACGTAGGCAACTCCAGCAATCACTAGCTCAGTGCCTTGAGTTTGCTTTATGAGTTCCCAGGGAAAATCCCTTTGGTCACCCAATTAAGTTTTTAATGTAGATCTCACCATGTAATTCTGGGTTGGTTGCAACCCCATTACTACAACTACTGGGTTCCATAATGACTTGAACCACTTTTTAAACACTTACCTTGCCTGCCAGCTTCACTGAATTTTACCCAGTCGAAATTGTATCCCTTCCATTCCACCCAGTGTTCCATCAAACCAAAATGGCAACACCCCAACCTTTCCAGCCCAGCAAGAGAAATGGTTTAACAAAACGACTAGCTATACTGTAGACAGCTGCTGTCAAGGTACTTCCATACTTCAGTAACACCCCCCACCCTCCCAAATTCTGTTTCCAGCCATCTCTCCTTGTGATTTTTCTACTGTTTTTATGAAACCTGCCTACCTGAAGGGAGCTGTAATTCCTTCGCCCCCAATCAAGAGCAACATCCTCTGCTGGATGCACGTGAAGAATGCATTTCCCAAATGTTTGTCATGTAGACAGGAGAACGGAATTCATGCTGGCACCCTGACCTTCCTCAGGGTAAAATCTGCCAAACTAGCCTAAACTACCTTTAAATAGAAACAGTAAGAATTAGGAACAGAACTACAAAGCAGTAAAACACTCCTGCTGTTAAGACTGCCTTTGCTAGCAGGATGACAGCCCCAAACTGAGAAGGTGTAGTGACTAACTGATGGGTAGTAGTGTCTCAAGACACAACTTCACATTAAAGCTTCAGTTACATTCACCACTTGCTGCTGCCAAGAGAGGTAGCCCTCTCCCCCTATCCCTCCCCCCCGTTACTTCCCGCTGGGACACACGCTTCTGCCAAGTCCTTGCTCCAGCACACATTTGCTTACAGCACAAAGCCAATTCAACTCACTAAACCAGCAGAAAGTAAATTGGTTTTGGCTAGAAAGCAAGCTGAATTGGCTTAGTACATGATCGAGCACTAGGGTTGGTGCAAGACAGAAAGAAGATGAACTGTAAAGCTGAAGGCAGGAACAGCAGAAAAGGTCTAGGTGAGGTGGGAATGGTAAGAAGCAAAAGAAGCTGTTAACACAGCTTGGCCGCAGCAGGGAATCACAGTCTTACCACAGTGCAGCAATTTACAAAACATGTCTTGAGCACGCAGTTCCCATAGATATCTCATTTCAGGGACAGCAATTCCTCTGATACCTGCATGTTATTAAAGGGGATTTTGTATCTAGCTTTAGCATGGAACTGTACTAACAATTACAAATCTTAAACCCAAATTCAAGAGGCACAGGTACCCCAAGTGTGTTGCCTGGGAAGGAAACAGATTTTCTGGTCCCAGCTCTTCTGCAGGATAGTGCCAGAGACTAGGGAAGCTTTGCAAGGCTTCACATTAACCCCACTGTTCTGCTTCTCAGGTACTGATTGTTTTTGTATATAGGACTGCACAATGAACAAGTCCCTCCTTGCAATGCCGCTCCATGGGTCTGCCCCAAGCTCTCTGCAGAAATAGAATCATAGAATCATAGGATGGTTTGGGTTGGAAAGGACCGTAAAGGTCATCCAGTTTCACCCCTCCTGCCATGGGCAGGGACACCTTCCACTAGACCAGGTTGCTCCAAGCCCTGTCCAACCTTGCCCTGAACAATGCCAGGGAAGAAGCATTTGCAACTTCCTTGGGAAACCCATTCCAGTGCCTCACCACCCTTAAAGAACTTCTTCGTTGTATCTAACTTAAATCTCCCCTGTTTAAGTTTAAACCCATTACCCCCTGTCCTATCACTACAGTCCCTAATGAAGAGTCTCCAGCACCCTTGTAGGCCCCCTTCAAATACTGGAAGGCTGAGGTCTCCATGCAGCCTTCTGTTTCTCCCAACAAAAAGCATCCTGTGGGGACCAGCACGTTATTCCTCTGTAAGAGAAACACTACAGGCTGGCAGTGAAAAGACAAAGCCCCTGGAGATCCACCACAGTGGGGGGCTTTCCGCAGAGTACCAAGCACTGAGACTGCATCCATTCAAACAATTAGTTACCTAAAACGTGGTTTTACACCAGAAGGGAGTTCAGTTTTTTACCTCCTTTTCCCATCCGTCTAGCATAGCACAGGCTGTTCCTACCCACCTGCTCCTAAGGTAAGCTGTGTTTTCCCTATTTTCTTCTACCTTCTGTCCTCTGTACATCTTGTCCTGCCCTGAGCACTGCAGTCAGTGATGTTGGCTTTAATAAACAAACAAACAAACAAAAAACACCAGTAGAGACTTTGAATTTTAACTTTATTAACCTCCAAGTTTTATATGCTCTCCAGGCCTCTCCAGATTCTGCCTCAGCCCTGCAGCGGTCGGGGACCTCAGTTTATTAAACTAAATCTCAGCCCAGCCTGGCTCACACCGGCTCTCCCCCACGGGCAGGCGGGAAGCAGCACCGATCCCTGCTTCCCCCCTCAGCAACGGTCTCATGGAGGCGCACAGGCCGCGCAGAGGGACGATCCGACGGGCACGGCAGCACCTGCGCGGGGGGCTGGCTCACCGCAGGCCCGGGGCGCGGTGGAGGTGGGAGGGCGGGCCCGGCCGTGCTGGAGCTGCTGCTGCTGGGCGGGCTGGAGCTCAGGTGAGGAACGGCAGGGGCGGAGGGCTGCTGGCCTTCGGTGCCGGGGTGCTGCGGAACGGAGCGGCAGAAGGGGCCCTGGGGCCGTTGCTGGCCGGCGGGTGGGTAGCGAGGGGCGCGGCTCCTTCCCTCGGGGTGTGGAAGGGGTGGCCGGTGTGCGGCCTCAGCTCCGGGGCTCCGCAGAGAGGGGCGAAGCGGGATTTCGGTTTGGTGTCCTGGTGCTGAGGCAACGGGACCAGCACCGTGAGGAAAGGTGCGGGGTTGAGCTTTGGTTAATGGCTTCTGCCGGAGCAGAGGAGCTGAGCTCCCCCGGAGGAAGGCCCGGCCTCTTTGTTAGCTGTAAACAAATGGAAACCTAATTTATTTCTGTAGTGACACCCTAAGGAGATGGAGGTCAGGAAGAGAGTTCTTGATTTGATCAGTCAAAATTAAGTCGACCGCAGGCATTTCTGTGGTAATGCTGAAAGGCTGCGTTGAAGGCAAATAAGGATAAAGGTTGCTTATGTCCTTAAACTCTGTGTTTCTGTATTTTACAGGTCTGGGCTTAAGAGTACTGCACTTGAAAGGGTAAAGACACTTTCAGGAAATAACATCCCTGCAGTATTTAATACCAGCTAATCAAGGGTGTGTCTTCTCGACGGCTGATTTTCTTCCCAGCACAGCTTTGCCTATACCTAACTTTTATCCAGATCACAGGCGATGCGGGGGACACTAAGGGTGCCCTCCTTTTAGAAACTTCCAGGACAAAGGTCACAGCCTGCACTTTCAAGTTTGCCCTGCCGTCAGTGGCAGCTGCGTGCATGCTCATGGAACGTACCAGTGTTTGCTGGGTTTAATGCTTCATTAAGACAACACTAGAGAAGCCAAGATTCGTGTTCTTAGTGGACACCGCGTCTTGTCCTTGCGGCAAAGGTAGGAGAGTCAGGACAGACCTAGTAAGTAAGCTAAGCTCAATAAATGTTGAATATAAAAGCATTGCAATTACTTGGTGAATATGAAAATGTAAAGAAAAACTTTCTTCTTTAATGAAGTTACTTCACCTATAGTTTAAAGGGTATTACTTCCTTTGCTTCATAAGGAAGTTAGTACTGAGTCTTGAAACTGCATGAAATGGATGCAAGTGCTGGTCAATGAATAACTAAGTAAAGCTATAAAATGAACCAGTTTTATTTCTCTAGCTCAGGAAGTTATTTTAGAAAGAAAGAATACATGTAAGAAACAAGATGCCTCATGCTGGGAGACGATACCAAGATAAGCAGTACAGGCACCATGAGAACCATGGATCTGATAGATATGAGGAAGACAGAAGAGTGAGAAAACCGTACCCATACAATACAAGGTATGTCTCTATCACCTTAAAGAAACACATCACAGCAGGTCTTTAACATGCCTTCTAATTTTGTTTGCTTTTCTGTACCTTCATGTTACAATAGTAAATAAAGCATTTACTCAGCCTTGAAATTGTGAAGCATGAGCACGCCACACTTGGAATCAGAGAGTGATTTTACACTTAAAAAATTAACCCTTTTCTTTGTAAAGAGACGGGACAGAAAAATAGGCTGTGTGACACAGGCAGAGATATGCGTTTCCTGGGTTATCTGGATCAAGTTGGGTCACAAGCAGGTGAAGTGTGGCCATGTGTCTTAATACTGTTCCTTAGGAGGCTGGTCAGTAGGTGACAACAGCCATGGCTTGCCAAGTATGCATTGCTTAAGTGAGAATGTTACATGACTGAGACAAGCACAGGGACCTTCTGAAGTCTCAGATTGCTCTATTTCAGCTGTGAACAAGTTAATATTAATCTAAACCAAAATTACTTTCAGTACGTGCAGTCGATAAATGAGTATTTGTTTGTCTAAGGCTGTTTACAGCACTTGATAGTGGGTCAGCCCATAGTATTGCAATAAGCAGATCAACTAATGGGTTTGGAATGAAAAATAAACTCTTCGCCTTCCAGCCTGGCCAGCCTACAGAATATTAGGCGTGAGCTTAGGCTGTTTCCTTTAAGGCATGACAGTGCCTGCATTGTAGGAGAGAAGTCTGTAGCTCTAAATGGCACTGGCAAATTAGCCATGGCAGTAACGTGTTCATCATGCCTGTGTAGTCTCTGGGGACATGATTGTAGGGCAATTTAAGAATAGAGACAAAGAGGGAGAGGAGATGAAATATAATTAAGACTGTTGAAAAGCTGAAATAAAGAACTACACCCTGATAATACGCATGTTAGCAAGAAAAACAGGATGAGAATAAAAGCAGCAGTGAAGAACACTGTGTAGACTAGAAGTACTTATGGCTAAGTATAAAACATTTGGATGGTGATATCTTACTGTGTTATGCAAATAGCTAATTAATTTTTCTTCTGTCTCTCCTAAATCATGAAAAAAATGGAGAGAAATGGGAATAAAGGTCAGCCTAAGAATCATCCTTAGAGGCTGAATGACTGTCCTTGGCAAAAGCAGAGCTCAGGAGGGTATATAGTTAAATTATTTTGAACATATTAGAAGTGAAAGCAACAGATGCCAGGAACGTATTCATTGAACTGTGGAGAGAAAAAAAAAAAGGGTGTTTTTGGGCATGGTTTGTTTTGGGTTGGGGTTGTTTGTTTTTTTTTCTTTTTTTTTGTTCATATATAGTGTAATATGAGCAATGTGTGAAAGGATAGCTATAAATTAAACCACCACTTCTTAATAAGGCCCTTCTCTGGACTTCTTGGTTTTGCTGTTGGTTTCAAATGACTGGACGTGTAGATTGAAAATTGGTGGATGGACTGTAAAGGCCCAGGACAACAGACCATCCCTGTATCCATGGATGATTAGAGGAAGCTGCAGCTAAAGTCTGTAATAGCCATGAAGATAAGAGTCAAGCTGAGAATCTGGGGTCACTAGCCCTCACTACAACTAATCAAAAAACTTTTCCATCAATTTTTTTGATAGAATTTAGCTTAACCTATCAGCATTTTCCCTACTTAGCTCTCATGACAAAACCAGCTGCTCTTGTAAGGACATTTCAGTATTTTGGTGAAGACTGATTGACCGAAAGACCTCCTCTGTAATGAAACAGATAGGAAGAGTTTTGTGGAAGCTGTAATTTGGATGCCTAATGCTTTTATTCCTTACAAGCAAGACTTTCTAGCCAGAGTATTTCTCTTAACAAATGCATTTCATTCTGAAGCTCTTATAGCAACCTTCGTCTCATTGCTGAGGTAAAAGAGTTGTATTACCCAGAACTGGAAAGTCCTGAAGGAAAACAGAAGCAAAGGTGGCCAAAATAGGCCATTGTGAGAGGAGAAAAACAAAAAGCATCTAAAACAAAGAATTATTTTTTTTTTCCCTAATTGTACTCTGTTGCTGAACATTCAGGGTTTTTTTATTTAGTTTTTGCTTTGTTTTGTTTTCTGGCAAGTAGCAGAATACAATAGAGAGAAGCAGCTGCATCAGAAGTACCAAAGGGATTGCTTTCAAGTTAACTTGGAAGTCTTATAAATCACACAGCTTATTTAATTTATGTGACACAGCTGCGCAGGATGCTTTGGTGGTTGCACAAGACACAGGACAAAGGTCAGAAAAATCAGAAATGTTTCAGCCAAATAGAGCTGTTGGCAACTGCACACAGAGATGCTAGCATTGGTCTTGTTATTGAATGTCTTAATTAAAATGTAAAAACTACAAAGAACATGATTTAAGGTGGATGAATGAGATAATATTTCTAAGTTGAATCCGGAATTGGATGAAGATAAACCCAAGTGAAGTGCAGCGATACTAGGACACAAAACTACAGTTGAAAATGCTGATCTGTGGAAAAAGAAAGTCAAGATAAAAACTGAATAGGAAGAAGACTTTTAAAAATAATAGTGCTGAATGAGACTTAAAATACCCTTTAATAGCAAGATTGTCCAGCTGTACCTTGAAAAAGACAAGCTCCAGTTCTCCTTCAAATGAGGGAGGACATTTAGATTAGACCAGACGCAAAACAATATACAGCTGATGTTTCTTTTAACCTGAGTGTTACCTCACTTTAAAAAGGGCAAATTGCACTTTTCCCATAGAATAATCTAAACCTCACCAACCTTAAAAGTCATCAGGCTTCAGATGTGGAGTTGTGTATCATTGCAGCAAAGTGGACAATTCCATTTTGAGGTATACAAATGAAGAGTCTATCAGAGACATGAGAAAATGATTTTATTGGGTCAATTTTAGATTCCTTTTCAAATATCAGCAAGTACCTCAGAAAAGAAACCTAAATAGGCAGGGGTTTTCTTCCCCAGTTTAAAATCTTTATGTGTGGTTGTGTTTTTTTTAATAGCTTTCATTCTTTTAAAAGGCATAGTTCTGAGACATGGTAATTGAAAGTAAGACTTCTACAAAATACCCATGACATAGGTGTGCTATTTTACACCTGTATTGTATGAAAATATTTTTCTTTTTTATTCTCTGGGCTGCTATGGACTAGCTAAACGGTTTTTCATAAAAAAGCTATTACTTGTTTTTATAGGAGAAAGAATTCCCCCCCACACACCCTCCTCCTTGCTACTGTTCGCAAGTAGCCTAAACAATTCAGCCAGCCTACTCAGTAAGTCCACAGTTTTCTCAGATAAGAATGATCAAGTGCAAATGTCCATGTGAACATGGATTTATTCAAGTATTTGGGATATTCCCTTTCAAAACATGCAAGCAAAAAAAAGGTCAGATACCTGCAAAGCAGGCTAGCTGATTCCTCTAACAGGGGCATCTGCTAATTTCTTATGTTCTAATGTTCAGGAGAGAGCATCATCTAATTATATTAGTCATTTACTTTATTGTAGATCAACAGAAGACATCAGAGATGTCCAGCACTCAGGGACTTCTACTGTTTGCTCAGAGCCTTACTCTAAAACCTCAGGAGCAGCATTGGAATACTTTGGCCCACC